GACCCAATGGCCTATATATCAACAACCAACAACAACATCATTATTTTGAAACCCAAAATACAAATTATGAGCCCAAAATCACAAAACACTCTTTAACACATTTTGAAACGCTAAGTCCCAAAATCACCCAACTGCAACACTTTATCAAAACAACCAAAAATCTATGTCAAAGACCATAAGAGTGAGTAGGAATCCCTACCTCAAATTCGGAGCTCAAGGAAAGAAGGTGAGGAAACTCGACGTGCTCCAAAACTCAATATTTTCGGATCAATGGATAACCCTCGACGATCAACCCAACTCTTGTGAAGACCAAAGGTGAGGAAAACACCCTAGCTAGATCAATACTTAGAGAGAAGTTATGGTTTTAGAGAGAGGAGCTCTCAAATGGCTTTTTGAAAAGTAAGAGAGAGAGAGAGAGAATGCAAAAAGTGATTTTAAAATGCCCAGCTGCCAACTGATAGACGACATTCCCGCTCGAGCAGAGAACACAACGCTCGAGCGTCAAGAACAAAAATCTGGATGATGGAAGTAGTATGATTCGAAGGGTATTTCCTAGAGTGGTAATGTTGGTAAAAGTCCTTCACCTATTATTGAAAATGTCTTGCTTATTGATCAATTGAAACATAATCTATTGAGCATCAGCAAATTATGAGTTAGGGAAACTAAAGTTATCTTTGAGCATACTCATTGCATCATAGAAAATATAAAGGGTAATAAAATATTCTTTATTGGTCATAGACATGAGAATGTTTACACTATTATCCCAATGATATATGATCTTGTGATGTTAAATGTTTATTTGTTATGAATGATGCTAGTTGGCTATGGCATAGACGTCTTGCACATGCTAGTATGGATTTGATTTCAAAGCTTTCGAAAAAAAGATTTAGTAATTGGACTTCCAAATAAAGAGTTTGAAAAGGATAAATTATGTGATGCATGTCAATACCTCTTTTAAATAAAAAAAATATATATATTGTTTCTGTATGTCGACCATTACAATTTTTTATATAGATTTGTTTAGACCTAGAACTATCAACCTTGGAGGTAAATATGCTTTTGTCATTGTTGATGAATTTTTTTTTTTTTATCTGTAAGGAAAAAGATAAAGCTTACATCAATAAAGAAGTTGAATGCACAAGCATCATAGCAAAGCAAAATAATCCCAATTAGATTGGCACCATTTAGTGAGCCCAATCATCTAGTAGCATACAACAAGTTGGTAAGACACCAACCAAACACAAGAGCAACACCAGAACAATAACAGCCTTAATAAAAAAATAAAAATAAATAAAAAATAAAAGAAGAAGAAGAAGAAGAAGCACATACACCACCTCGAAACCCTTATGCTATTCCAAAGCACAAACCAACTCAACAGCTACAACAAATCCATAAATAACAGAAGCTAATTAGCCACACATCAGTCATTGTTGATGATTATATAAGATTTACACGGGTTATATTTCTTGCTCTTAAAAAAGATGCAATTCATGCATTTACAAAGTTTTGTAAAAGTTCAAAATGAAAAGGATTTCTCATCTCATCTATTAGAAGTGACTATGGTAGAAAATTTGGCAATAATAAGTTTGAAAAGTTTTGTGATAAACATGGAATAGATTGTAATTTGTTAGCACCAAGAACACTTCAACAAAATGGCATGGTAGAAAGAAAAATAGAACATTGGAAGAGGTGGCTAAACCATGTTGTGTGAGAAAAATCTACCTAGATATTTTTTGGTTGAAGCTATTAATACTGCATGACATGTTATGAATCATGCTATGATTAGACCTATACTTAAGAAAACACCTTATGAACTTTAGAAAGGGAGAAATCCCAAGATTAATTATTTTCATGTAATTGATCGCATATGTTATGTGTTAAATAACAATAAAGATAACCTTGGTAAATTTGATGTGAAATTTGATGAAACAATCTTTCTTGGTTATTCTAATTCTAGTAAGGCATATAAAGTATTTAATAAAAGAACTTTTGTGGTAGAAAAATCTATACATGTTGCATTTGATGTGTCTGAACAATTTCTTCCAAGAATATGGTTAGTGATGATAATGCATAAGATGAGCAAGCTCAGTAAGGGGGTGAGGTCTAAGCGGATAGAATAGCTCAAAGTCGTGGGTTTCAAAATGCGAAGGTAAGCGTCGGTTTCAGAATATACTCTATCCCTATATAGTAAATAAGGAAAATCAAGAGAAAATTGCAGTTGAGATAGCTTAATAGCGAAATGGAGTTAACTCAAATGAGTATGATAAGCAGAACTCTACAGAGTTGTCAAAGGAAGTTAAGTATGCACATAATCATCCAAAAGAACTTATCATCGGTGATCCACACTAAGGTATAATGACCCGTTCTTCTCTTCATAATATATGTAATAATCTTGCATTTTTTTTTTATCACAAATCGAGCCAAAATCTTTGGAAGAAGCTAAAAATAATGAGGTGGTTTCTAGCCATGCAAGAGGAACTCAATCAGTTTGAAAGAAATAAGGTTTGGACCTTAGTACCTAAACTTGATCATCATCTTGTAATTAGAACAAAATGGGTTTTCAAAAACAAAATGGATGAATATGGTATTGTTGTTAGAAATAAGGCTCGTTTAGTAACCGAAGTTTATAATCAAGAGGAATGTATTGATTTTGATAAAACTTTTTCTCATGTGGCCAAATTAGAATTCTATTTGCATTTGCATGTTTTAAAAATTTTAAACTTTATCAAATGGATGTGAAAAAAGCATTTCTGAATGGTTACATTTCAAGAAAAAAAAATGTATATGTTAAAGAACCACCTAATTTTCAAAATCATGAGTTTCCAAATCATGTTTTCAAACTTACTAGAGCTTGATATTGTTTAAAACAAGCACCAAGAGCTTGGTATGAAAGGCTAAACAAATTGTTGATGTAAAAAGATTCTCAAGAGGCAAAAGTGAAACTAGTTTTTTTATAAAAACAAATGGTCATGATATGCTTGTCAAGCAAATATATGTTGATGATATAATATTTGGTGCTACTAGTGAGAATTTGTGTTAGGATTTTGCAAATTGCATGCAAGGAGAATTTGAGAATAGCATGATGGGTAAACTCAATTATTTCCTTGGACTTCAAATAAAACAATCAAAGCAAGAGATATTCATCAATCAGTCGAAGTACATCCATGGTCTGCTAAAAAGGTTTGGCATAGATAAAGCAAAGCCAATGAGAACTCCAATGATTCCTCCCATCAAACTTGACAATGATGAACAATGTAAGACTTTTGATGAAAAGAAATAAAGATGTATGATTGGCTCTCTACTTTATTTAACTACTAGAAGACCTAATATAATGTTTGGTATATGCTTATGCGCTAGATTTCAGTCCGCACCAAAAGAATCTCACTATATTGCTATCAAAAGGATTTTTAAATATTTGTTAGGTACACAATCATTAGGGTTATGGTATCCCAAAGAAACTTCTTTTGATTTAATTAGTTACTCTGATGTTGATTTTGTTGGTAATAAAGTTGATAGAAAAAGCACTAGTGGTAAATGTTAATTTCTTGGACACTCACTTGTCTCTAGGTTTAGTAAGAAACAAAATTTTGTTACTCTATCTAATGTTCAAGTTGAATATCTTGTTGTTGGAAGTTGTTGTGTGCAAATTATTTGGATGAAACAACAGTTAGAAGACTTTGGTATGCATTTCGATCATGTTCCTATTAAATGTGATAATACAAGTACTATCAATTTGACTAAGAATCATATTCAACATTCAAGAACCAAACATATTGAAATTAGATATCACTTTATAAGAGATTATGTTCATAAAGGTGATATTGTTCTTGATTTTGTGAGCACTAATAATCAATTGGTAGATATATTTACAAAACCACTTACTGAGGATAAATTTTATGATATAAGAGGAGAACTTGGCATGTCAAATCCTCCTTAGTACTGATTTATTTTATGTTGAGCACTAACAAATTTTTATATAAGGATTGAAAGCTTCACTCTTCATTGAAGAGAAAAAGTGGAGAAATATTGAGACTGAAGTACAAATTCAAGGGAAGTATTTTTGATTTTGCACTATTCTTCTATTCTTAATTGCCTATCATTATACTTTAGAATTTAATCATCAATGTTGTCATAATAAAAAATGGGAGATTGTTAACTCCAAATTTTTTGAAAGATTATATAATTGATTTTGATGATAACAAATCATAGCTAATTATTATTCAATACTGTATTAGGAATGGTGGTTGAGCTGCATTTTGTTTTGGTATTGTTATTCACCAGGTTTGATTGCATGGTAGTGTGCATTTTGGTGTCAATATAGTTTGGATAATTTTGCTCACCGCTCTCGCTATCCTTTATTGATGGTGTGGTATTTGTATCTTTTTTTTTATTAAAATAAATGTATAAAAATAAATAGAGAATTGTATTATTGAATAATGTATGCTTGTTGTATATCTGTTTTTACAAGAGAATTAGGTCTCTCTATTTATAGAGAGGAGAAAGATACAATGGAGTACGAAGGCATAAGGTAAGATATTACAATAATATAAAAGTGTAATCTAAAGCTTTGCTGGTAGTGGGTGTTGGCCTCCTTTACACCTTTGAATTTTGATTTAAACCAATTTTGATTGATTGAGTTCTAAAAAAATCAAAATTGATAAATTAACACAAATGATTTACAATGTCATTGGATGCCCTTTGATATGGCGCAAACTAAAATTATGTAACATTTTGGACATGTATAAAGTTTAGTTTTATAATTTATCATATTTTTCTTTAATATATGTGACTGTTATTATATGTATTTGTTAATTAAAACTCAAAACAAACAAAAAAAAATGTTACTATTGTATTCGAAATATGTTTTTATTATTTATTTAAAATGTGGATAACACAAATTTCATATGTTAGCATAATTTATCGCAAAAGTAATTGTTCAAATCAAAAAAATATTAATTTGCATAACAATAAAAATATTCCGTCAAACTATTCATACATACCTATTGATTATTTTTCACTGCCACCTTTCCTTCAACTTATTATCATTTTCTCTCTGTCATCTCCGCTTTATCAACATCACTGCACAGCCAACTTTTTGATCAAGATATTTAACATGAAATGTTTCATTTTTTTCTACATGTATATACCTACATCAATATCAAGCAAAAATGACAATTTTTTCTTTTCAGATTTTGTCAAAAATAGTAGTTTTTTGAACTTTAATGTAATAAATTAGATATGTATTGTCTAAAAACAGAGATGACAAATGTTACAAAATTATCATTTCTTTATCATTTATTTTGTGTTGCAAAACTAAAATTTTCTCATTAATCCACATTGTTATTTTTAGTAATGCTTATATATATACATATATATATATATATATATTATTTTTTAACAACAAATAGTTATATATCATACCCTTCCAAAAATGTTTACATACAAAAAAAATTGTTAATTTTAAATAAAAATAATAGTAAGTACTTCAAATATTTAAAACTCTTCTCCAATATTATTTTATGTTGTTGCTTAGCAAGTTTAGGTACTGCATTATTGTGAATATTCTAAATTTTGCGCACTTATAATTTATTTATTTTTTGAATAGCTTTAGATCATAATATTTCCAAGATATTTATATGAAATCTAAATTAAAATTTTACACTATAAGCATAAAATTTTACAAAAGAAATCAAATTTGTTCCAAATATTTTCATCTCAAAATCATTCCAGAAAAAATAAATAAATAAATTGGGCACAATTATAACATAATTTCTTTTATTTTTGAAAAATAATGCTTGATAATTTCATGTTATATAGAGGGTTTGGTATGGTGAATGATTTGATCATTTTTTTTCATAAAGATTGATTTTCATTATATAAATGCGTAAACCTGGGCTTGATCAAACTTTTTAAGTTGAATCAATGAGAATTGAAATAAATTGATCTTAGAAAATATAACAAAGATCTAAGAAACTTAATTTAGTAATAAATTTTTAATTAAATCAAACAAAATGCCTAAATGTTGTTTTAATTTTAATTTGCATTATTTTTCTTAGAAATAATTTTTTTAATTTTAAATTGGTTGAGTGCTAGTCTAACAAAGCCAAACTTCTTATAAAAGGCCCCCCCCCCACACACACACACATATATCTATACAAACCAAATTTCTTATAATGCCATTCATCAGAAAGAAGTTTATAAAGACGAGAAATCTAAAAACCTGAGAAGAAGAAGAAGACGAAGAAGAGGAGGAAGCGTCACAGACTTCTGCAGTGACTTTCAGAGACTTATCTTCCATTTTCTTTCATTTTTAGTCCAAGATGCTGAGAAGAAGACTGATGAGAGAGACCTCTGAGCAAAACTTGGGATGTATACAGTGACGGAGCTAAAAAAATAAATCAGAGAGGCACTTATTAATTACATGTTAAAAATTTTTATAAAAATATTTTATATAAATTTTTACCATTGACTTCAAGAAAGATAAAAAATAATAATGTTATTTGTAATTAGTGTATCATAAATAATATTAAAAAAAGTCATGGATATAAAATTTTAAAATAAATTATATAATGATAAAGTAATTTTTTATACAAAATATGCATAAAAATTCAATATAAAAGTAATACCACATCATTATTAATATGTGATATCACTAACCAATAGTAAAAAAAATTTATGGAGCATAAACGTTACATGTCAAATGTAACTAACAATTCAATAAACTCTATATTTTCATTTGAGATTAATTATATTTATATGTCAATAATGATAGACATTACCATTATATTGAAATTTTGATAGATAATAATATCGTAGTCACTTTATTTTCAATCTAAACAACCATTATTGTTCTCATAATTTTAAAAATGTCATTTATATTTAAAATAATATTTTTATAAATTTTTTTATTTAAAATATTTTTTTCTCTGTTATGACCCAAACCCACCCCTGTAGGTTTAGCATCGTCACCGGCCAGTAATCCTTGGATTACCGAAGACCTTTGAACAGATTAACAAAATTAAGGGGCTAGCGGAAGCAAATACGTAAATATAATTGTCCAATGAGCTGTGTTGACTTATATGAAACAGAATATTTAAAAATTTATAAACAACAAGTTTGGCCAAGCATACATTGGCCCTGTTTGGTAGGGCCGTGAGAAAGTGATTATAATTTATAATCTAACAGTTTATAACTTATAACTGGGAACATGAGCTGATTTTTGACTTATAAATTAAGCTTCTCCTCCCCCACTCAAAGGATAAGTTAATTTTTGACTTACAAAAAGTTATAAGTTGTATTATTAAACTGAACCAAACACATCAAAATAACTTAAATTAAGCTAAAAATTAAAATAAATTAAAAATAAGCCTTACCAAACAGGCCTATTATTCATTGACTCGTTAAAAATTTTATTTTTAAGATATCAATTTGTGTGAGAAGTTTGGCTAATGAAAGGGAACTTATACTATTAAGTCCGGAAAAATGCTTGGGAGCACTAATTAGTGCTCCCACTAATTAGGTGGCAGTGGGTCCCGTCATTAATGATGTGATGTTTTGGTCTTGGAGTTGTGTTTTTTTTTTTTTTTTTACTTTTTTAATGCATTAGTGCTATTAGTGGTGATGTTTTTAGTGGGATGAATCATTGTTGTTAAGTCCGTGGCTGGGGCCCACAGCTCACCTACTGGGCTCCCCCAGTTGAATTCAAATGACAAGACTTATATGAGGAAGGTCCCTACATAAATAAATAAGGTCTCGTTTGGGAACAGATTAATTTAATAATTTTTTGGTTATTTAGTTAAAATATGACTTAAAAAAATTAGTATGTTTAGGATAATTTTTTGACTTTTTACGAAAAGATGTACAAAAAGTAGAGAGAAAAGAGAATCTTTGACTTTTTGGTATGGGTTGTTGACTTTTTGACTTTTTTAATAACTTTTTGAATTTTTAGCTAGATGTGAGGGTTTCCAAACGGGGCCTAAGGAGATTGTGTCCAACACAAGCCTCGAAAACTAAATTGTATCAAATTGAGCCTCCATTCAAGTTTGAGGTGGACCCAACTGTGCTCAAGGTCAATAAACTAGAGAAGCTATTCAAGAAAGCACAAGGTGTTAACTCCATCCCTTCATCTCAAATCATTCCAAGCAAAAATTAAATAAATAAATTGGGCACAATTATAACATAATTTCTTTTATGTTTGAAAATAATGCTTGATAATTTCATGTTATATAGATGGGTTTGGTATGGTGAATGATATGATCATTTTTTTTCATAAAGATTGATTTTCACTTATATAAATGCATAAACCTGGCTTGATCAAACTTTTTAAGTTGAATCAATGAGAATTGAAGTAAATTGATCTTAGAAAATATAAACAAAGATCTAAGAAATTTAATTTAGTAATAAATTTTAATTAAATCAAACAAAATGCCTAATGTTGTTTTAATTTAATTTGCATTATTTTTCTTAGAAATAATTTTTTTAATTTTAAATTGGTTGAGTGCTAGTCTAACAAAGCCAAACTTCTTATAAAAGAATCTTACTATATGCGCTAGATTTCAGTCCGCACCAAAAGAATCTCACTATATTGCTATCAAAAGATTTTTAAATATTTGTTAGGTAACAAATCATTAGGGTTATGGTATCCCAGAAAACTTCTTTTGATTTAATTAGTTACTTTGATGTTGATTTTGTTGGTAATAAAGTTGATAGAAAAAGCATAGGTAAATGTTAATTTCTTGGACACTCACTTGTCTCTAGGTTTAGTAAGAAACAAAATTTTGTTACTCTATCTAATGTCAAGTTGAATATCTTGTTGTTGGAAGTTTGTGTGCAAATTATTTGGAAGAAACAACGTGTTAGAAGACTTTGGTATGCATTTCGATCATGTTCCTATTAAATGTGATAATACAAGTACTATCAATTTGACTAAGAATCATATTCAACATTCAGAACCAAACATATTGAAATTAGATATCACTTTATAAGAGATTATGTTCATAAAGGTGATATTGTTCTTGATTTGTGAGCACTATAAATCAATTGGTAGATATATTTACAAAACCACTACTGAGGATAAATTTTATGATTAAGAGGAGAACTTGGCATGTCAAATCCTCCTTAGTACTGATTTATTTTATGTTGAGCACTAACAAATTTTTATATAAGGATTGAAAGCTTCACTTTCATTGAAGAGAAAAAGTGGAGAAATATTGAGACTGAAGTACAAATTCAAGGGAAGTATTTTTGATTTTGCACTATCTTCTATTCTTAATTGCCTATCTTATACTTGAATTTAATCATCAATGTTGTCATAATAAAAAAGGGAGATTGTTAACTCCAAATTTTTTGAAAGATTATATAATTGATTTTGATGATAACAAATCATAGCTAATTATTATTCAATACTGTATTAGGAATGGTGGTTGAACTGCATTTTGTTTTGGTATTGTTATTCACCAGGTTTGATTGCATGGTAGTGTGCATTTTGGTGTCAATAAGTTTGGATAATTTTGCTCACCGCTCTCGCTATCCTTCATTGATGGTGTGGTATTTGTATTTTTTTTTTATTGTTATTCTTCAATAAAGTCTTTTTTTTTGCTGATCAGAAAAAAAAAAAAAAAAAAAATGAGGTTGGAGGCTAATTGGGTGGTAGAAGTTACAAGGTAGGTGGGTGAGGTGTGAGAAGATTTTGAAGTTTGTGTTGGCATATGAGAGACTGATTTGAGGAGTAACATAGGTATAGAGATCACTGCTCGCTTTTTTGTCCTCTCCATTTTATTCTCTAATTTAATTTTGATTTAAACCAATTTTGATTGATTGAGTTCTAAAAAAATCAAAATTGATAAATTAACACAAATGATTTACAATGTCATTGGATGCCTTTGATATGGCGCAAACTAAAATTATGTAACATTTTGGACATGTATAAAGTTTAGTTTTATAATTTATCATATTTTCTTTAATTATGTGTGACTGTTATTATATGTATTTGTTAATTAAAACTCAAAACAAACAAAAAAAATGATTACTGTTACTATTGTATTCGAAATATGTTTTATTATTTATTTAAAATGTGGATAACACAAATTTCATATGTTAGATAATTTATCGCAAAAGTAATTGTTCAAATCAAAAAAATATTAATTTGCATAACAAAAAAATATTCCGTCAAACTATTCATACATACCTATTGATTATTTTTCACTGCACCTTTCCTTCAACTTATTATCATTTCTCTCTGTCATCTCCGCTTTATCAACATCATGCACAGCCAACTTTTTGATCAAGATATTTAACATGAAATGTTTCATTTTTTTCTACATGTATATACTACATCAATATCAAGCAAAAATGACAATTTTTTCTTTTTAGATTTTCATTGACTCTTAAAAATTTATTTTTGATTTCATTTTTTATTATTTTTTGTTGGAACCTTAAAAATTTATTAAGACTCCTTAATAAATTTTATTTTTATTTTTTGCTTGGAACCTAAAAAATTTATAAGATATCCAATTTGTGTGAGAAGTTTGCTAATGAAAGGGAATTATACTATTCAGTCCGTGGCCGGGGCCCACAGCTCACCTACTGGCTCCCCCAGTTGAATTCAAGATGACAGACTTACATGAGGAAGGTCCCTACGTAAATAAATAGGATTTTGTTAACAACATCACTAATTTAAAAAAGAAAAAATGATCCGACTCCTTTCCCCACTCCCTTTGATCTCCTCTTTTTTTTTTATTAGTTAATTTTTTTTTTCTCTCCTCAATCATCACCGCCACATGCGTGTGGGGTGGTGGATAGTGATTGAAGGGGTCTCAATCACATTAAAAATGAGTCTATAATAAAAATAAAATTTATATTTATTATTCTTATATAAACATATTAATATTAAGGATTTTAATTTGAGTTGAGAGGCTATTAGAGTTAGGCTGAGCAAGAAATCCGTAAAATTCGTAATCCGATCCAGTTCCAATTCAATCGATAGGTTGGATTGGTTTTGAATTCGTGATCGGTTCCGGATTAGAAGAATTAAAAATCCGTAGTCCACGGATTGGTTACGGATTGAACCCACGGTTCCGGATTGGAACCGATCCGGACCGTATACAAATAGTCTATATTTTTATTAAACACATCCCCCATAGTATCTTCTCTTATCTATTAAAATCTAAACTCAAACCTAAACCCATATAATTTCTTCTTTTATTACTTTTGTTTTTTAGTTTTTAGTTTTAATTTGTAATGGTCTAAATACTTATGGTGAAACAGTTTTTTTTTTATGTTTAAATTCT